ATCTATGTTCGATGAGTGTACCTGAAGAAGTGGTGTACTTCTTGCATATATATATATACATGGACAATCACATTGCTTTGTAGTGGTGCTCCAGCCACTGTCTCCAGCACCTTTGAACCAGGTGCATGTATACATGTTCTTGCAGCTGCTTGCAGCTGCGTGCAGCTACCAGCGAGAAACAAGAGGGTGAAGGCTGGAAGTAGGTATAGCCTGGAGGTGCCCTCGCTAGTCTTTGTAGGTCTTGTTCAAGGCATTGAACCTGATTCAGTGTCTCTTGAATTCTGACCTTTCGTGACAAGTAAGGTGAGCGTGGAGCATGGAGAAGTGTTTCATGGCAGTTCCACCACTATGCCTTGCCCTGCTGGCTACAATGGCACCGTGACTTTTGCGTGCAATGATGATGACCTCACCTTAGTCCGAGGGAAATGTGGCAAGCGCTGTGCACCAGGCACAGTGGAATACAGGCTGGACGAGAAAGATCCGTTCAGCCGTGCTTTAGACTATCCTGACATGGATGATGGTGAGGAGCTTCCAACAGATTGTCCAGGCTCGCTAGTGGGCACGGTCCAGTTGAAGTGCCAAGATGGTGCTGTCTTGCTCCGCGAAGATCAGCAACTTGTCATCCACGTGTTTGATCAGTTGGCAGGTCGTTGCTTCGGCTTCCGAATGTTTCATGAGAAACCTGGATCCGAATGCATCTCACCCCGGATCTCATGAAACAAGACTTTGCATTTGCAAACAGGACTTGCACTTTCCGTTTGCATCACTGTGCGGGTGCCCTCCCCTGATTTTTGTTTTTCGCCCGCCATGTTCAGTGCGCTGGCTTGCTTATATAATCCTAGAAAAAAAACGCAACGGAACCAGGTGCCGAGCAGCGAGGTCGTGTTCTGCTGGAGAGTTTCTGCTGGGCCATGCGCTGATTCAACACTCGGCCATGGACCATGGCATCATGGAACCCAGCAGTTGTCCCAGCGGCTTCGAGGGACCCTTGGAAGTCGGGGGAGTCGGGAGTCGAGCGTTGGGTTGGTTTTGGTGTCTAAGCACCTGGGGTATCCTGGGGTTGTTGGATGACTTCGACAAAAGGATGATGGTTGGTGAGATCACCTGATGGTCTTTTTTGGTGGCCATCGACCCCAACGTGGAGCCCGCCACGTGGAGTCCCGCAGGGAAAAAAGGTTAAATAAGCGAGTCCCAATGGAGGTGCCAATGCGAAGCAGTTCGTTGTTGTCTTGACTCATTGACAGGTCAATACTTCTTGCAGTGTCAAGATGGCGAAGTGATTCCGAAGCACAACAGTTCCTGCCGCGCGACTTGCGATGCTGTAGGAAGCCTGTGGGTGGATGATGGGCGAGTGGAGGTTTCTCATGGGAAGATCATTGAAGGTGGCAAAGTGAAGGTGGTATGTCCAACGGGTTCAGCAGGGCAAGGTGTTCACTTGGCCTGCGAAGATGGCTACATCAATGTCACAGAGAGCACTTGCAAACGTTCTTCCTTCTGCCAAGCTGGATACATCAATTCTGGTGGTGCGAGTGTCTTCCATGACAACCTGGACGACAAGGAGGAGATCGTTCTGGCTTGTCCAGAGGGCTTTTCTGGATCACTCGATGTTACTTGCGAGGCCACAACCATTCTCACTGAAGGTTCATGCCAGAAAGGATGCACATCAGGCGTTGTGATACTTTCAGACTTGACTATTCCTCACGGTGACGTGGGACACGGTCAGGCCGTTCAGTTGGATTGCCCTGCGGGCTACACTGGTATTTTGCCCTTTGTGTGCATGGACGGTAACATGACCTGTACAGACTGTCTTTGTATCCCTAAGGCTACGGGTTCCAGTAAACGTTCGGACCTTCCGATTGCTGCTTTTGCAGCGGGTGTCACTGCTGCCGTTCTTTTGCTTCTCTTCGCTGCCGGTGTCTTGTGGCATCGAATGCTGAAGAGGAGAGCCATGGCCGCGGCAGTGGCGGCAGCGGTTGGGGATATCCCGGCTCCATTATCTTCCTCGTGTCTGGATATTTTGCCAAAGACCGGAGTCAGGTCTGGCCACTCCTCCACTTCTGCCCCTACAGCATCGAGCGGACGTGGATCAACTGCATCCACAGGCTACCACCGGGCGGACACCGACGTGTTTGAGGTCGTCATCGATCCACCATGCTTGCCTCTTTATTGGGCCACCAAAGCTGGCATCCACATTTTTCCTGACCCCAACAGGATTGCAGAGGCTGGGAGCTTGTGAAAAAAGAGACGAGGTTTGGATGTTTTCCAAGGCGTTCTGTTTTGCGGTACCAATTCTACACTTCTACTTGGAAGTCTATCCCCTCAATGAAATCTTCCCTCACTGAAAGCTTCGAGGTTCAGCAACTGATGACAGACACATGGCTTCCTCACTTCACTAGAGATCGGCAGCTTCTGGGTGGGGGGCGTGTGCCCATTGGCTGCCGTGTGGCCAATGTCTTGCGTGTGGAGAACCACAGATCGTATGCCCGCTACTTGACCTACAAGGATGCCTTGAGACTCAAGCGGTCCGGACCCTGCACCCCGTTCCCTTTGCGGACCAGCAATCGGATAAATCTGCTAGACGACGAGCCTTAGTATGCTTTAGTGTCACGCTCATTCGGGCGCGGGCGCATGCGGACGTGGGTCGAGATAAGGTACATACGAACATATAGGAACTGAATGCCACTTGCCACACGCCAACCTGGGGTAGAAACCTAAGCACCTAACAAGCCTGTCAGAGAACGAAAGAAAGGAACAAAAAGGAGGAAGAAGATGGTTCGCAACACATCATGCCAGTTTCACTACCGTTTGCCCCACATGAACCACCAAATCATTCTCCTGTTGCCGGCAAAATACTGTAGACCCTGGCTGAGCGGTCCACGCGGGGCACTCTTAGACTCTTCGGGCTCACCCCGCAATCTCCGAAGAGAGAAGCACTAGAGACTGGTGCACGTACGACATGAATGCTCATGCCCGGACAAAACTTCCCGATGAGACCAGGCAAAATGCAGCGATGTGCAAACATAGTGCAAGCAAGACCCCCCAAAATCAAGAAGTTCCCGAGGTTCTAAACCGACCTGAGTTCTAAAAGTTCCACTGACACAAGCTCCAAGAAATCGCGGCACATTGTGCCGAAGTGATGCGGTGCAAAGACTGACACTCTTTTGTTTGAGTTATATACACGTGTTACACATATATACACGTGTTACACATAGGGACATAGGGACGACAAACTTGAGATCCTCCAGCTGTAACTCACAGACCCACGAGTGATCACCGCAGGTGCGTTTTTCCACGAGGGCATCGATGGGTCTTCGGTGGCCCGTGCCATCATGTGCCATCTATGTGTTGACATGTCCCCTGCAAAATCTAAGAGAATCCGAAGATGCACGTGACTCCAAGGTGTCACACTCGCTTGCTGAACTGCTTGCTGAACACTACTTGTAGGATACGTCTCCTTGGTTGTGGAGGTGGATTGAACATGCACGGAGGATGTACTGTTTGCGAAGCCTTTGCGTTGGTCCGTTGGTGTGTTTCAGTTTTTGTTTTACTCTGCTTTGTTCAGCCGTTGCCGTGTTGCCAAAGCTCACATAAACCTTGACACGCTAGCATGGAGGCCTTTATATCCAAAACACGGGCATTTGAAGGTTCTTTAGGGTGCAGCATTGGAAGCAAAGTCTGAAGGTCTTACTCGTATGTTTGTCGGCTCTGGTTTTACCTACCTATATTTACCTAATTTTGTTTGCCATTCTTACCTTCCAGCATCCTTGCAGCTGACAGTTGGCGCATGTTGGCATCAAAGGATGTGAATGAGAGCTACCTTTTCCATGGCACCAACCCGGAGTCAGCTCAGTGCATTGCGAGAGACTTCTTCCGGATGGAGAGGGCAGGAAGTTCTGCCGGGAGCATGTTCGGACCAGGTATTTACTTGGCTGAAAATGCCAGCAAGAGCGACGAGCATCTTAGACTGCAACCACTTCTTTTTTTCGCTGAAGCCTTGTACACTTGAAGACACGCAAACGGGTTTTCCAAAAGTTATTTTCCCCCAAACTTACGGTAGTGGTTAAGCAGCTGTGCTTAGATCGCTGGGGCGCACGGGCGTGACCGGCTAATTCGCTGCTATTTACAGTACATTCATGCCTCTCGAAATCTGCGAATTGCATTTTGACTGTGCAGGCTCGCAGAATCTGCGTGGGCGCGGCGGGTGCTTCTAGCGACTGCGCTCTCGTTGTGGTGCCGTGCGCATTTTCGGACATGGTGGTCACTTTTCGTGGCAGGCGCAAAAAAAACCTCGTGTTTTCGTGCTCCAAAGTTGATTTTTCGTGACGAGTGCAAGGGATCGGAGCGGCTTTACTTCGAAGTGCAGATTTCGTGGCAGGTACAGCACTTTGACGAGCTCTGATTTCGTGACAGGCACACACACACTCACACTCACTCTCACTCACTCTCTCACTCTCACTCACACTCACACTCACACTCACACTCACACTCACTCACTCTCACTGTCTCTCACTCACACTCAAACTCACACTCACTCTCACCCTCTCACTCTTTCACTCTCTCACTCTTTCACTCTCTCACTCTCACTCACTCGCTTACACTCACACTCACACTCACACTCACACTCACACTCACACTCACACTCACACTCACACTCACTCACCCTCACTCACTCTCACTCACTCTCACTCACTCTCACTCACTCCCACTCACTCTCACTCACTCTCACTCACTCTCACTCACTCTCACTCACACTCACTCACACTCACTCACACTCACTCACACTCACTC